TGTAGGGTTTTGGGTTTAGGATGTAGGGTTTAGGGTTTAGGATGTAGGATTTAGGGTTTAGGTTTTGGGGTTCTTTAGGTCCTAAAGACCCAAGAACTCGTTGCAAGAAGCTGGACAAAACAAAGTCCTGGCTTCTTCAGCTGGTGCCATGCTCGAGACCCGAACAAGCAGTCTAAGACAAAGCCGAAAGCCAACGATAACAAGCAGACAAACACCCCAAAACCCTCAAAACCTCTAAACACGAGACCAAAAAAAGTATTGTCTACCACAGCCAAGGGACAGCAAGTTGGGCAGCAGCACTGGAGTCACCAGGAGATTCATAATTGCCGCCTCCGGATTGGCTTCCCGTGCGGAGGGGTTGTATAGGGTTTCGTAGGCTTTTCATAAGGTTTTCTCGGGTTTCACAAGCGCTGAAACGGTTTAGGGCTCAGGGTGTAGGGATTTAGGGGTTCCAGCTTCAACACCGGTGGCAAGCCATGCTGTTGCAACGCTTCTGCCATCCACAACTAACAAGGCAAGCCATCAAGGTTTGTGTCGACCGTAGCCACCGTGGCAGCATGGACATACCGAATCTTTATCAAAGAAGCGAACAGCGAGATGGCTCTCCCTTGCAGCCTAAGGCCCCAAACCCCCAACTCGGAACCTGAACCTTAAACCACTCTAAACCCTAAACCCTAAACCATAAAACCCCTAAACCCCTAAACCCTAAACCCTAACCCCTAAAACCCTAAACCCTGAAATCCTAGACTCAAAAAGACCCTCGCCCTTTGGCAGCGCCTCAACCAGACAAAGGATCCACTTCTGGGAGCCCTGTGGGAAGTCGAAGGCCGCAGAGTGAGCTCCATCCACCGCGAGGGTGTTCAGCAAGAACTCAGCAGTCCCACTTCCGAACTGAAGGGTTTTGGGTTGAGGGCTTAGGGCCTTTACGGTTCAGGGTTTAGGGAGTAGGGCTTAGGTGCAGTTTGGGGCTGAGGCTTTAGGGCTTCGGGCTTCGGGTTTCTTGGGTGGGAGTTTAGGGTGTGGGTCTCAGGTCTTCAGGTTGTGGGTGGTGTTGCAATGATTTCTGTGGTACAGTCTCGAAGCACATGTCGTCGCACCTTGGGGGTCGGGGGCTGGACGGTGATACAAAGTAAACCCTAAACCCGAAGCCCTGAGCCCATCCAGCAAGCCCTTCGAAGCCCTTCTTCTCTGATCATATCCCCTCTCTGGCATCGTTGATCCAATCTATGCAACGCCACATCTGAACCCTCAACCCCAAACCGGAAACCCAGGCTTATTACCGTCGACTCAAATCTTTTGACCTTACGCCCGACTGCCACTCCGTCGGCTTTCCACGGCAAGCGGCGAAGGAGCTTCCAGGCACAAAGGCCGCAAAGCAGGTGCGAAAACCTCGGCAGGGTCCAGGGTCAGGGCGCATGGCTGCAAAAGCCTCGGCAGAATGAACGGTCTGGATCGCTAGACGCAAAAGGTGATTCCTAAACCACCGAGGTCCATGCCTGGAGCGAAGTGAGAAGACGTTTAAGGGTATCGGATCGAATGCTTGGGGCACTCATGCAGACAGATATCGACCTCCACTGTCAAGAAAAGCATGATTCCGAAGCGAGTGAAGACCCTCTTTCAATTTTGCTGCTTATTCGAGTGTCAGTGTGCTCAGTGAGAGCACAAAGTCTGACGAATCTTAACACGCGAGTGGCTGAGGAAGGTCTCATCGCCGAGTTTGTCCATCAAGGCTTGCCGCAACGGGCCTCAGGGTTTCGGCTTCTGGGTCAGGTCTGTGACAGCTCGAAGACTACCCGGATATCCTTCACCCGAAACTTGGGGGGTGCCGTGATTATGGTAAATGGCCCTCTGAACTTCTAGTTCATCACACCTGCTCCCGTACCATCAATTTGACGATTGTTCAATGTCGCTCTCCCGTCTTACTCTGCATTATCATCGGGGTTGCCTTCGTCATCATCGTCATCATCATCATCAGCAGCAGCATCATTATGACCCTCGTCATGATAATTTCTAGTGCCATCATCATCACCGGCATCGACATCGCAGAAGCAGCAGGAGCCACGTTTACCAGCATCGCATCGTCATCACAACGGCGTTGTCATGAGCATCAGCCATCGTTGCAACCTCATGAACAACATAGTCTCAGTCGTCTGTCATCATCAGATTCATTCATGCTGGATTCATACTGTCATCGTCAGTCCCATTACCCTTAACCAGGACGTGAATTCCGCGCCTCGGACGTATGCATTGAAGGCTTCCAGGCCACAGTTGCCCACTGAGCCCTCCTTCCGTGGCTGCTGCGGTAAACGGCCTGGGCCCTCATCGGCTGAGAGCGATCCGCATCTGACTAAGGACCTGTAGGAGCCATGCCAGTCGCCTGAGAGCGAGGTCGTGGATTCACTCGAGTCCGAGATCGAATCTACAACCTCGATGGACACACTCGAAACATCTTCCTCCGTAAAGAGCTCCGCAATCAGTGCTTCCAAGGGTTGCCGGTCGGATTCGTCAGAGCAGCTGCAGTTGCGGATATCGAAGCCTGCAAACTGTCGTAGCATCTCCTCGTGGCCCTGGGCTTTTCTGCCCAGCGCCCACATCGACGGCCCCAGAACAACGATGTAGCCCGGGAGCAAGACGACCACCAGCAGGATGTTGTTCAAGAAGTGGTTTAGAGCACGATCTGATGCAAGTGGCGAGAGTTTCTGTGGCGATGATGCACAGGATGCGAGAAGAGCAGTGATGCAAATGCAACCTGTGGGTTTCCGACCCTAAACAGTAGGATCCTTATAAGGACCCCTGTACCATCAGGTACCCCGTTATGTTTTGGAAACTCCCTCCTTGCAAGATGTCCAGGCACATAGTGGTAACCAGCCAGCGAGGCAGCCACAATGGAACGAAGCAGACATGCTCGCAACTCGAACTTTTCACGAACGTTGCCAATTCTACTACACACCACAGCCTGTCTAGGTAGCTCCCGTCATATAACATTAAAAACTCCGAGGATTGGGTCACGAAGAAAGGAAGGGCCCTGATGCCGGCAGCTTTTTGACCTGCATCGCTTTGATCAATGCATAGCCTGTCCACCCACAATGTCGGATTGCGGGACCCGGAAAGTCCAATGTGCAGATGATGGCCGAAAAAAAGCACGGCAATGTACACAACCACAGCCGAAAGCCAACAGAGTGCGACGAAGAGGGTGGTCTCCGCATCAAAGCCAGTTTCTGGGTCGATGCCACGTAGAGGGAAAAGGGGAAAGGCGAGGACCAAGAGCACGCACAAGGATTCCAAAGCCTCTTAGTGTGCACGACTAAAAATGGTTAAGGGCTCACGGTGTTACAAGGATTCCTTTACAGGTCTGTAGAATTAACTTCAGGGGCTTTTAATTCTGATTTAGAGTTAGAGTTAGAGGGCATGAAAATCAATGCAAGATTTTGGGTGCTTTCTTGACTCAGAGCCCGGTTTCCGCAAACTAATCCGGAAACCACATACAAACATCATACTTCTGCGGTTGCTACTACTACCACTACTACTACTTCCACGGCAAACACACCAACTACCACTACCACTACAAGTACCTATGCCGCTACCACTACAACCACCACCACCACCACCACCACCACCACGACAACCTACTACTACTACTGCTGCTGCTGCTGCTGCTGCTGCTACTACTACTACTACTACTCCTACTGCTGCTACTACTGCTACTACTACTACCCCTACCACTACCACTACCACTACCACTACCACTACCACTACCACTACTACTACTACTACTACTACTACTACTACTACTATGACTACTACTGCTGCACAGCTGCTTCAAGACTTGCATGTGGATTCGGATGGCCTTGTGACTTGCTTACTTAAAGTTGGGTAAACAGGAACATTGCTGTCCCAACTCTTCGACTCTGTATCTTCTGCCAAGCCAGCCTCTCAAAAAGCAATCACATCAGTAACAGCCATAGGAGTGCTTTGCATGTGGGAATTGTGAAATGCATGCAAGCTAAGCTTAACATATGAGTGTTCGTTTAGGTGTCTGTTCAACCTTCCATCCTTGACGCCGGTTACAAACCTTCTTGCAACCTTTAACTTATAGTCTACGTACTACATGACCTTCAAAACATACTATCATACCCGGAAAGTCTACAAGTTCGTAGAACTTTGCAGCGGGCCTTGCGCAGGTTCAACTCGCGGCACAGCGCAAAATACTTGGCCCAGGAATCCTGGAGTTGGCTTAGAGACCTTCAAAAGGTTCCCTTTAAAGGGCTGCTTTTAAAGGGCTCCTTTGAAGGGTTCCTTTTAAAGGGCTCCTTTCAAAGGGTTCCTTTGAAGGGTTCCTTTGAAGGTTCCCTTTTCTCTCGCGTTTAGGAAGAAGTGGGAAAAGGCAAGACACCCATTGGGCAGCTTCTAACTAAACACCTACGACCCCGAAGCTTCTATCCCATCCTATCCTGAGTCCGAAAGACCCAAAACATCCCACACCCCAGTCTTGAAGCCCAAGACCCCAGAGCCTGTCGCCCTAAACACCGTCCCTGATCGCAGAAAGCAGACTTCACTGCTAAAATAGCAGACGCAACATAAGCCGAGCCTTGAAACCTGATTCAGGATTCCGGGAAATAAGCTTTCCTCCATGAGCGCATAGTACACAGATCCTACGCACATCCGGAGTCTGCATCATCTGCCATCTCTTGACCGATATTTTTCATCTTATGATCACAGTTTTCCACCCTGAACCCGAATCCTCCCTAAGCCACAACTTTGCCAAAGCCCTAAACTCCACAACCCCCAAAACCCCCGAAACCCTAACCCCGAAATCCAAAATGCGACTAGACCCCTAAAGCCCCAAAGACTCCCCAAAATCCCTAAACCCTAAACCCTAAACCCTAAACCCCTAAACCCCTAAACCCTAAACCCCTAAACCCTAAACCCTAAACCCCTAAACCCTAAACCCAACTGCTCTATCCGAGCATCGGAAGACCAGGAATGGCTCACGAAGATGTCCTTAGTTTGCTGAGCTCATAAGCCCCAAAGAGTCTAGGGTCTAGGGTCTCGGATTTAGGGTTTAGGGTCTAGGGTCTAGGGTTTAGGGTTTTAGGGTCGGAGATACTAGTCTCCCAAAAAATGCACACTTTCAGGTCAATAAGGAATAACATTTGCCCAAGAAGTGTAAACAGCACTCATTCAGCCGCGAAGTGTCAACTTCTGAAACGGCAAAGCTCGCGTCTTCGTTCACAGGAGTTTCCTGACCTGGCAGATGTTTGTTGGTCGGAGCCCCTCTTTTCAACAGCCCAATATTTGGGGGTCTAAGGGTTTAGGGGTTTAGGGGTATAAGGGTCTACGAAATTAGGCTTTTGGGCATTTAACCAGCTGAGGAGGGGTGTAGAAGCTTGAAAAGCTTAGGGATTGAAGGGTTTGGGGTTTATCCCAATTCGGCACGGACTTATACCTAAAGGCTCAATGAATAAGCATGTGAAGGGCATCATGAATACCCAGGTCGAAAGCGTAGGTTTCTGGGCTTGTCAAAGCTCGTTCTGGGATTTATGGCTTCAGGGACAGGTCCCGACGGTTTGGGGCTCAATGGGCCGGGGAGCGTCATATCTAAATGCTTCGGATAATCGAAACGACGGAAATCTGAAGCTTAGGGCCGGGAGATGCCGGATGTAATGCAGAGGCGAGGTATAACAGCCGAGCTTCGGAACGCCGAGCCGAAGGCTCTTAAAACATCCGAGCCAGTCACCGCCCGCAAGAGGCTCCGCTGCAGTTCTTCGCCAAGGTCAAGATCGCTCGAGTGCATCGCCATCACCAACCAGACTGCCAAACATGACTAACATAAGCTTTCAAGGTGAAGGAGGGTTTAGAGTTCAGGGCTCAGGGTCTCAAAACTCCAGTGTCGCGGTCTAAGGAATATCTTCGGAGCATTTGCGATGTTTGACTCCACTACCATTGTATTTTGCGATAGGCCAAAACTCGGTGCTCTCTCAGACTAAAACTGCAGAGCCCAAATCGGGGCCAGCTGCAGCTTCGAGCAAAAAGCACAGCGATTGAAGCGGGCGGAGGGTTCGTTAAGGTTCTATAAGGTCTGCATCAGGGTTGGACATACTTCGATGGCACAAGAACTAGGATCGTACGCGGTGCCCACGGGAATGCCCGGCTTCATGGCACTTCTTCTGACTTCTCTGAAGAGCAACGTCGGGTGCTTTGAATGCTAAGGGTGCTTCGGGCTCCTGATCGATTGCTCTGCGGATGCCTTCATCGGCCTCACCGTTACGATCGTTTCATCAGCGTTGGATTGAGGCCAGGCTTGTGCCGAGCATGGTTACTTGCATATATCTGTCTACTGTCTCGAAGTTTCAAAATTCAGGGCCGACAATTCAGAGACGCATCAACAGCAGAAGACTTGGCCCCTTTTGCGAAATCCGGGCGACCCCTGCCATATTCATCTCCGCTTGATATCTTTAGTTGAGAGCCTAGATGCGCGCATCAACACTGCAATGACTGACACTCGCTCACAACGAATGCCAACTGTCGACCATCACTCGCTGCAACATTCCCACCTCGACGGTTTAGGTTTAGGGTTTAGGGTGTAGGGGTTTCTTGTTCCCCCTTTGGAGGTTGTCAATTCCTCAACACTCAACACCAACCTACAGATACTTTCCACCCGCTTAGTTAGTCTGTGCATGGTTACTTCTGGCCTGTGCATCATGTGCTTAGTTTTGTCAGAAGCTTTGCAAGGTTTTCTCTGGCAAGAACGAACGTCAAGCCAAGTGTTCCAATTCAAAGCTGTACGTCGCTGTTTCGAAACCTGCTGGCAGCCCTTTCGGCTTGTTGTTGTGTCTTGGCTGCTTGCCAACTTTGGCTCAAACCCTGCAACGGCAAACTTATACACTGCCCTTGTGGAATTGGATCGCAGGCTATTGTCTTCTGTTTGCCTTGTGAAGATTGCAATGCTTGTCATGACTCCTGAGAAAACGCGTAACTCTAAACTTCTGCGACTGTGTCCTGCTGCAAATTGATTGTCGGACGCTTCGCTTGTGTTTGCAGCAGCATTTTACATCAGCAAGTTTACTCAGCAGACTTTATGGCCGGCGGCTTCTTGGCGGCACATGTTGACTGCAGGCTACACCTCCTTTGCACAACGCTCCGTCGAACTCTTGGTCCGAATCCAAAACAACGATTGTCCGCCGGAAGTCACATCCTGCCATGATTTTCTCAAGTCAATCGCGCTTGCCTGCAACAACCCGAAACCAAGCGATAAGCTTCACAAATTTTATCAGCAAAGCATGACACACACCCACAAAAACCCAAAATCACAAGGGAGCATAAGACCGAAATTCCCAAGCTTGCGGGAGGAAGTTTGAGTGCTCTCTCCCATCCTGGAATCTTGAAAGAATCCAAACATCCGTTTTCGGCGATTGAGCTTTTCCAGCAGAGCTGGGAACTCAGCTCGACGACTGCACATTCGGCGGGACATGTATCAAGTACCAGAAAAGTGCTGCTCACACGACTTAGCCCCATCATGCTGCGCTTCGCAGCCGCTCGAGTTCTAGCACTTGCGCCCGTGCCCCGCCTTTCTACGGAATGCTTAAAGAACTTGTAGATCCACAGCTTTCTGGTGGTCCAACATGCAATTAAAGAAATTTGAAGCTGAAAGCCCAGGCTCTCAAGACCAAGCTTCCACAGTGTAACCTCGAGTTCTTCAAAACTCTGGGGTCAGGGTTTAGGGTTTAGATGGGTTTAGGGTTTCCCCAAGTCAACACAAGAGGAAATCCATTCTTCGATCCGAGCCAGCGGCGGCCCTCCATCTTCAGGTTGGACAGGGTTGCCTCTGCCTCCTCCTCTGTACATCTCTCGTTGGCCATCACAACCTGGAGACATGCCCCAAGCGAGGAAGGTTCAACGGTACCCTCCTAGCTCCCCTTCCAACTCCAACTGGCGTAGTTCGTGCAAAGCCCATTCGAATCCCATTGTACAAGGGCGACACCGGCAGGCTCTTAAGCATTGGGAAGTGTGTGCGCGTGCACCGCAGCTGTCATAATAACATACAAGTCAAATAAGCACAACAAGAATCATCAATAATCATAGCCACAACGAAAGTACCAGCAGAACCAATAACAGCTATAGTAACAATAAAGTAACAACGACAATCGTAGTAATCATAGCAAAAGAAATCTGCATAGCACTTTGCAATGACCACGCTGGCCGCCTCCTTCATGGCAGTGTAAATGTCCTCGGGCACTTGTCTGGCAGAGCCACAGACGTAGAAATGGCCTCCCTGCTTCAGCATGAGCTCGGCCACCTCCTGCCCTGCCTGAGCGCCAAGAGCCAACATTTCACAGTTCTTGTTTCGGACACAGTCCACCCGGAGTCCACCCACTTAACTCATCTACCCGACGGCCTCCACAATTCGGTGCTGCACATAGATCTTCCGTGCCTGGAGGAGCTGACGGACACAAATCGTGCTCAATGCCATCTTCAATTGTGCAATGTTTTGAAGACAAGCTGCCTGTTCACGCGAGAAAGCAGTGTGCATGGCCAGGACACCCTCCTGTACATAACTCTCGAACTCCTCCCGGTAGAGATACTCCTGAGAACAGCAGCTATCCATGCTGGCTGGAGGATCAGATGCTGCAGCCCTGATGACAAGTGGCAACTGCGTATCGAGCACCAAAGAAGAGCAGGCACTTGCCCACTTTGTTGCCTTGTCGGCTCTGCATCACCCGCTCCTTGCGAGCGAACTAGTGAACTCAGACCCTGCACTTCCCCCCTCCCCGAAGCGTAAATCTTTCTCCTTTTTCATCACTGTCTGCAACAGCACTTCTTAAGATGTCTCCTGCGTCACAGCACGCCACGGGGCCAGACCAGTTCCCATGCCCGCCATAAGGACTGGCTTGGTCGGGTCCTGGCAAAAGCAGCTGCAAAGTGCGGAACTCGTATCTCGAAATGAGGCACAGCCGCTTGCCACTCCTCTGGCAGCACGATGGCGCTCTGGCGGACAGCGCACATGATCTGTGCACCGGGCTTCTGCGTCTGCATGTAGCCTCTGCACGAGCAGGTGAGGAAGCATCCGAATATGCGGAAAGAACTCATGGATATGCGGAACCAGGCCTGTGCACTCGCCTAGGCGGAGTTCCTTGGTGCTGTTTACGGTCCAGTCCACCAGGACCACACAGAGCTGGATCCTGTCCGGATGCATGAGCGGCGAGCTGGCGATGGAATAGCTCCTGGGCTTGAGCACCGGGATCATCTGCAGCAGCTGCTCAATGGGCGGCCGGGCACTGGAGAACTTCTTAAAAACATCTGCATGGTGGGCAAAATCATGGACTAAGTCCCTGTAGAGAGCGGAGCCCTCTGCGTTGTTCTCCACGATACTCTGCAGCTGCTTCTTCTCTGCCTCATCCTTGGTGAAGAAGGATAAGGTCTCGAAGAACTTTCGGTTCGGCTTGCCGAAGATGTCCAGCACGTGCGTGAAGAGCTGCCGCACGCTGAGCTCTGTGGGACACCAGTTCCTTGCACCTTCCAAGGGAAGGACGCGCAGCTGCTGGCCAGCATCGAAGCCCATCATCCTGCAGAATTCCTCCGCGGCTGGCACCGGGTTTCGGGGCCAGATGGCCAGGCTCTCACCCGTCTTGTAGCTCACGGAAGTGCCTTCGATCTTGAACTCGTAGTGTCTGATGTCCCGATCGTACTTAGCATCACCTGTCAGCACCTTGTTGCACAAGAGTTCCAGCCTGGTGGCGCCTGGCGGCACGATATCGTCATCCTTGACGGGGGGCTTGTCCACGGTTCCTGGAGACACATCCACTCGGTAGCAGGGGGCCGGAGGATCTGAGGAGAGAGGCAACGCAGGTGCTCCCAACACCTTCCAGAGCTCAGGGAGCCACGCCTCCCAGCCGGTGTAGTAGCGGTCTTCGTCGCGGTCGTCGCCGACGCCGCGCTGCAGCATGCGCTGGGCACCCAGCTCGGCAAGGCGTGTGTCGAAGCCCACGGCTGCCACACAGAACTGGCTGTAGGTCGAGTCGCCCAAGCCGAAGACGCAGAACTTCACACCTGCAAGCCAGGTCATAGGCAGGTCGGGAGACTGCAGCTTCATCCAGGTCTGCTTGCAGTTGGCCGGGTATTCACCAAGACCGCAGGTGGACACCACCAAGATGACGATCTTCTGATTCGGCAATTCCTCGAACTCGAAGTCGTCCAGAGAGCTCACTGAGGCCTTCAAGCCGCGGGCATTCAGGTCCTGCTTCAGGTTCTTCGCCTGCTCCTCGGAGTTGCCAGTCTCGCTGCCGTAAAGCACCGTGATGGAGTCGCCGGAGCTCTTGGCATCCGAGAGACCCTCCACCAGTTTGCTGAACTGACCCTCCAAATCTTCCTGGTCGGTTCGTCAGCTTGAGCTGAGGCAACACAAGCCAACTCAATGCAATTTCAAGTTTCTAGAACCAGCCTTGTTCAGGACCTGCAGAAGATGGTTCTTCTGCACCACGTTCTCCTGCAGCCTGTCGTCCAGCTCCTGCCAAGCCCATTCAACCATTCCGTCCCACATGCACTAACACTAGCTTACAGCTCGCGCCCTCGGCCGCTTCCCCTCCTGGGCGTGCTTCGGATCGCGGCGCATCACTGCTGCGAAGCGGTTCTCCTGGCGACCCAGCCCATAAACTAAGACATCGCAAGACCTTCACCCTAGTCAGCTTGCCTTAGCCAGGAACTTGAAGAGGTCACCCTTGATCTTGCGGCTGTCCAGCTGGAAGGGGTTGTTGCCATTTTTCGCCAGCTCCGGGTGGTAGCGGTAGAGGGGCCAATATCCAGAGTCCACGGCCATCTGACAGTGCTGGATGGACTCTGCCATGGGGAAACCCTGGCTGATGCAAGGCGAATACGCCAAGATGATGCTGGGTCCTGCATAGGCATCCGCCTCGATCATGGCCCTCACTGCCTGCTGAGGGTTCACGTGAACGCAGATGCTCGCAACGTAGACGTTCTTGTATGTCATGGCCAACTGCCCCATATCCTTCTTCTGGGTGAGCTTGCCGCTCTCGGCGAACTTGGCCATGGCCCCTTTGGGCGTGGCCTTCGAAGCTTGCCCGCCTGTGTTGCTGTACATCTCAGTGTCAAGGACCAAGATGTTAACGTGCTCCTTCAGATGAGACATGATGACGGGAAGGGCCAGGGAATGCAATGAAGCATGGAAGTGAACTGAAAGCCTCAGGACACATTCTGTAGCTCAGGTATCCTATAACGGCATCTCGATGCTAGAATTCCGCAGCGTTGGCTGTTCAACACTATTTCCAGAAGTGCACCAGCATGCTCCTCACTGGCAATGACGTGGTCCAAACCACCGTAGCCGATGTCGTAAGCCCAGCCATCACCTCCCACGATCCAGAAGCTGCTGCGCCCGAACATGTCCTCCCTCGGTGCCAAAGTGACATCAGAAAGAGGTGCTTTAAGGAACGTAATGCAGCTCAGCAGCAGGTCATGGAGGGCTTTAATCTTTGGGTGCGCGTCCTTCTCCTGGTGCAGCTGATGGTGCACGAGGAGCGGCTATGAACTATGAACTCGCCATCGCAGGTCCTTCTCCAGAAGTGGCTCCAGCTTCTCCATGATCTGGTGGTAGATGCTTCGCCCGCGCGGGAGCAGGAGATCGTGCATCTGCTCCTGCCAGGAGACACGCAGCATCGCAGGTGGCGGCAGTGTCGCAGCAGGTCGTGGCAGAGGTCCTGGCGCATGACCAGGTACTGCTTCAGGGCCTGCCGCAGCTCGTCGGACATGGACACGGACTCGTCGGTCAGGGCAGCCTGGCAGAGGCGCGAGTGGGACATGCCCCGAAGGGTTCGAAATCTTCGGAAGCTCAAGGCACACCTCGACCTGCAAAGCCAAGTAGTCTCGGCGCTGCTTGAAGGCCTCGAAGGCTGTGGCAGACCCGTTCGCCCTGCAGATCCCTGCGTCCCCCTTTGCATACGCATGCGCCTTGCGCATGCCGAAGCCGAACTCGGCGTTGTCCTCGAACAGAGAGTTGGCCCAGGCTGGGCCCTCACCCTTGGTGTTGACGGTGTACGGGAAGGACGGGTTGGAGCCGCCCCAGATGGAAGAGCAGCCTCGACACTGAAAAAAAACTCACACAAGACGAAATCGGATCATGTTCCTGATCCTCTAACCGCAGGGTGGGGCCCCGACCTGTTGCATTGGCAATGACAAGCCTGTCTCCGAACCTGAGCCGTGGGGATGCAAGTTGTAAGGTTCACTATGCTGAAGCCGTGTTAGTAGACATACCTCCCCAGTATGACAAACTGAAGAAAGCTTTCTGTACTGCTTCTCCGG